TCTAAATGTTATATGTTAAAAGTGTATTGTTTGTACTTTGATTTATGTTGGTTTTGTTTAATTTCTAATTTAACGATAAATTTTTGCATAAAATTAAAAATCTTTCTATTAAATACACATAAAATACATAATATCTCTAAGTTTAGTGTTTTTTTTTTCAAAGTTTGACAGTTTAACATTTGACCCCAATAACCTCATACACATCATCACTACAACACAAAAATCAGTACTCAAATGGATAATATCACCATTTTTGGACATGTAAGTTATTTAGTATACCAATTTTTTCAAAACTTGTGGTATAATATTTCATTAAAAACCATTATATACTTACTAAATAATTATTCATCCTTCTTATTACAAATTAATTCATACTTAGAGTATATTATAAGTAGATTTTCTTATCACGCATCTTAGTACCGATGGTTGATGTTTACTTCTTACTTTTTATCAATTAATGAAGTTTAAATTGTCTTTATAATTCATAAATAAAATCATCAAGTTATTATTCATACAAAAAATAAATCACTATTGTATGAAAACCTATAATTCTCATAAAATAAAAAAAATATTCAAAGTCCAAGTTAATCGGCAATTAAAAAAAATAAGTGATCAATACAAAAAAAATAAGATACCAATTGCACCACAAAAAAATGTTCAAAATCAATCTAATCGCTATGTTTTGAAATTATTAAAACATCCTATCTTTATATGTTGAAATTTTATAAGTAACATAGTGCTTTCAGGCACGGGTAATGACTAAAGTAGAGCTGTGTTTGAATTTTGGAGACAAAGAGAGGTTCAGATCGTTTTGAGACAAAACATAAACATATACAACGAACAACGTAATTTCAACATAAAAACCAGTTCAGATCATCTCATAAATACTGATCCGACGATCATAATTAGATTTAACTTTAACACTCATATCTCTCGTATAACTCTCTCTCTCTCTATTATCTCTTAGACATTTTAGACACACTATCTCATCTCCTCTCTCTTCCTAGCTCATACTAACTGATACAACTCTCTCTCTCTCTCCCTCTATCTCATACTCTCTCTGCTATTTCTCGCACATTTTAAACGCACATTCTTACATATCTAATATAACTCTTTATATATATATATCTAATAATAACAAAATACAATAATAAGGATTATTTCTAATAAATTATAGGTTTATTAACATATGTCATCTGAAGCAGAGCCAAGAATTTTATTTAGGGTGGACACTTTAATTATACACTCTAATTTTTTCCTCTTAACCAATTACAATGTATAATATATTTATATTTATTATATCATATTTGATACATAAAGTCCATTTAACATAAAAAGACCAAAAAATAATATATATTATATATGTATAAAAAATTGATTAATTATCACCAATGTAAAAAGTGAAGCTAATTGTCATTTTTATAATTAAAAAATATCAATTATTCACTAACAATCTATTAAATTTATTCAATAAACGATGTTTTAAACATTATCACTAAAATATTAGTTTAATAAAACTATTAAACTAAAATCTAAGAGACATAGTAAAAAAATTAAAAATCGATTGACACATAATAAAAACTGTAATCAATAATCGAATAAAAATAAAAGATAATTTTTCGTAGAAAAAATAAAATCAAATGAAAGAACTTTTACTTGTAAAAATTCATAATAAAATGAAGGTCATCTGAAGAAAACTATACTATTATAATAAAAAAGACTAAATAATTAAAATAAAAAAATTATAGAGTGAGTACAAGTAAAAAATATGTGTATAACTTTTAGAATATATATATATCATATTTTTTTAAAAACAATTGAGGATGGACCCGTGTCCATCCTCGCCCCTGTGTAGCTCTGCCCATGTATGTCATCTTATATCTATCTATCTATATCTATATCTATATGATTCTAATTGAATTTTTATTTCTTTTACATTTCTTTCTCTTTCACACACTCTCATATTTCATATAACTCTATTTACTAAGAGTTTGGCTTGGACAACTATATATATATATAGTAATTACATAATACATCTAATACCCATTAATACTCTAATCTCTCTATATATATATATCATATTCTCATCTCTTATAAGTTTATCACATCTCTCATATAACTCTCTCTCTCTCTATACACCCACTAACACACACATGTCAATATCGACTCTTATAAAAAAATAAGATATTTTTTAGGTATAATGATTAAATATATAAATTGTGTATATGTTGATATTTTTTAGGGATCGTGTTTTTAGAAAAGTTGTCAACTTTTTTTTAAAAATAGTGTTTTCAAATTAATTTTGAATTGTATAACTAAAAGAATAATAAAAAATAAAGTATTGTTTGAAATATTTATATTGCATAACCGATGATCGAGGTTTTTTAGTTGCTTAGTGCCTTTAGGCACAAGATATTATTAGTATCTCACTGAAAAAATTCATATTAAAAAGTATTTTTGTGAGTGGATCAGATGAAATCCTAATAATAATAAAATATAAGGTGAGTTTACTTATTAAACGGGATGTATGTAGTATGGTGTGAACTAAGTTACTAATGGGTTGGATATAGAAGGAGTGAACTTAATAGTTTGATAATGAGAAATTAAATTGGGTGGGAATAACCCCACCCAAACTTAAATTCGATTGAATTTTATGAATATTTAAGTTGAACTCAAATAAAAACTGATTTTAATTACTCAACATAATTTTTTACATCTACAAAAATTCATATGAAATTTTTGGATATTTTTCTCACAAAAGTTACACGAACTCACTTTAGAAAAATGGTGCAGAAATAATGTTATGAATTTTAGGTAGAAACTTGCAGATAAACAAATAGTTATATTTTTTTGAAATTTGAGATAAAATTTATTTAAAATGTTAAAATTATAGATATTTAACCAATAATAATTATATTTTCTCAATTTTTTTAATTAATATGTTGTAATAGTTGTAACATGACTTTCGTTATATAAAAATTTGATTATATATGTTTTGCATACAGGTTGAACAATATCAATTTGATCGTTATATTGTTGAAATTGTAATATACATTACTTTTATTTATGAAAAAATATTTATAATTTTTTACGAGTAATGTAGTGCCTTCAAGCACGGATATTTACTATTATATATATATAACACCAAAATATGTTAAATCTAGAAAAGACACATGGTGCAACCCAACGGTTAGGCAAAGGTCAAAAGGTCTTAGGTGACTCGAGGGTTACTCAAAAAGATCTCTAAAAACCTTGGGAATGTGCAGCGTCATACTAGAATGTGGCGTTGTAGGCAGTTGAGAACACGTTGTTACCGTTGCAGAGTGATGTCCTAGGTATAAGTTGAGTGGTCCGAAAAGATAGCCCCAACGATCAGTAATCACTGACTATAAATAGACGAGCCAGAGAAGAAGGATAACAACCCAAAAAACAGCACACCCAAACTTACTTTTGCATTGCTCCGATGGTCAGGTCCCATTTCTTTTTTCAATACATTAACTGGTTTTATTTGGTTATACCCATTACCACTTTTTAATTTCTTTTTGTTTCTCTTTAAGCTTATATTGTTTCTTCATACCTCACAAAGACATAAAAAGAATCTAGAAATAATATTATATCTTTTTAGAGTTGTTTAAACAATTATTTTAATTATTATATTTCTAAGTTAATTTTTAATTTATAAAAAATATATGAGCACAATTTCGATTGAGGGATAATAGAATTAGACTTAAATATTGGTGTTAAATTTTGTATTCACAAGTTACATGAGTTAACATAAATACAACACGAAAAAAATAAGTCGAATCCACACCACAAAATTAATTAAATAAGTTAAGGTTGACTAATGTTCGACATAAACCCATAATTTGCATGACACAAACCATAAATTAGCATGACACAAATACATCCGACACGACACGATTGTCACCCCTCCTATATATGCAATTAAGCTTTGAATCAGAGTAAGATTGATAAAACACAAACCCAAATACACTACTTTAAAAGATTACATGGCTAAATTATCAGATCTTAGGTCATAATACCGTTATAATAGTTTATCTCCGGAATTAAGATCAAGAACTTAACATGAAGATGAACCAGTAATCCAAAAAGTAACAAGAGACACGGGGTAATAAACCTCGTAATCAACAACTGACTGAGAGGAGAAAGATGAACAGTATGAATGGCAAAACCAGCATATAGAAACATAAGTGTCGTTATCGTGCAGCAATTATGGTGAATAGTAAGGAATCAAACAATTAAGAAAGCAGGAGAAAATAACACACAGAGATTTACGTGGTTCGGCAATGTGCCTACATCCACGAGAGCGAGCAGCCGTTCTTTTCCATAATTGAAGTAGGGTTACATCTTAAGTATTTATATAACCCTAATATGGACGTATTTACAAAAATACCCCTGTACCGTACCGCGGGGGCGTTGCCTCCGCACCCCCAACTAATCAGCGTCTCCTTTATATAAATCTCGCAAAACAGATGTCGTCGCAGGCTCCGCTCCGGCATCTGCCTCCTTGCTATTATGCACAAAACAAATATAAACTACACATACTCTAACCATAAGTATGAGAGGTTCATCCCAAGTAAGGTTGTATATAGAAACTTAAGCACATGCCTAGGCAGTGTTTTTAAAACTCAGCTCAGCCCGACGGGTTGACCCGGTGAACCGATGCCTAAACCGGATCAATTCATCAATCAGATCGTTTGTGCATCAAACCCGGAATAAGCCCGCTGAACCGTTCAACCTCAACGAGTTTAATCAAACTGGATGATTGAGTGAATTTATTCTGACACACCTCTGCAAAACTCTATGAATCTGAAACAGAGTTCCGTTATGCAAAAACAAAGAACACAGGAGACAGCATTTGTATGATAGCACCTCAGCTAAAGAACCAACAACATACTTACCGATAATTTTCAGAATCCACCAAGAATGCATCTTCAACTCGGCATATCTCCGTTGCGCTTGATCAGTACTAGGAGGCTTCAATTAGGATTGATTAATTGGTTCAGGCTGAAGAGCTTTCTAATGAGTTCACTCTGCTCTTTCCCATGAACCTGATAGAAACCAGTGGCTGTTGCAGCAGATGGAGCATGGCCTGCGTATTTGATGTCATCCATGCTACCTCTGCCCGGGGCTTTCATGGCAGTGCTAAGGTGGAGTGCGATGCAATTGTATGCACCCATATTCATCGGCTCTTCCTGGCACCAAACAATCTCTGCATCTGAAAATTTGACATATAGAACATTTAAACAAGTTAGTCGCATTGCATGGTGTCAACAGCATACTGCTGCACCTAAACGACCAACCATGGTGTTCAAATTCCAGTCCCTCACCTCCACAGCAACTAAATATTTGAACCAGGATGCATATTTTCGAGTCAGTAAAACATGCAATGGAAATAAGGTGTATTCACAACTCGTTGATTCTTGGCAAAATTTTACTGACACGCGACCAGATTCCTGGGTCCACACAGAAGTGCTGAAGTAAATCACGGAAAGCGGACATCTTGGCATGGTGACCATAAAAGTATCTTAAACAGATCTTTGATGCACATGGCAATAGTGAATCTTACTATGCACAAAGGGAAAGATAATTCAACTCAAAGCTAACAATACCACCCTGGATAATACAGGACAGTAATGGTAAATTTCGCCTTAGTAGCAAGATTGAGATGCATACTTGGATAACGCTTCAGTTCGCGCTGGATAAGATCATATGGGAATGGACAAAACTGCTCCACCCTACATATTGCAATATCCTTGCCATTAACTTTCTTCCACTCTTCATCAAGCTCATAGTAAACCTGAACAAAAGGGTATCATACATTGACATTATTTCTGTAAGTTTGCGTTGCAAGGACAGGCTATCCACATGCGTGGTCCTGCTGCCAGGTAAATTTTAAGGAATAACATCTTTAAGGTCTATCAGATGTTACCTAAACATAAATTTGCATGCGTATGGGCTCAACTAAAATTGTGGGGGCAAAAACAACAAAAGAATGTCACACCTTTCCTGAGCAAAGAACCAAACGCCTGATACCCTTCTCGAGATCTGAGTGGTCATTCTGGTCCTTATTAGGCGCTTAAATCCGGTCCCTTGTTTGTCAAAACCTGGATGGCCTTGGACACTATCAAATTCAGAAAGATTGGATTTGCAATCCTTGTGGCGAAGCAAATTCTTTGGAGACATCACAATGAGAGGCTTTCGAAATTCCCTGTGTATCTGGAAGATGAAGACAGAACACAAGAGATCAAAAACAAAAATCAACTAAAAGCATAAAGGCTTATAAACAACAGTTAGCTGCACTTACTTGACGTCTCAGTACGTGGAAATAATTTGCCGGAGTGGTTACATTCACAACCTGCCAATTGCATTCCTGGATTTGTGTCCGAAGAGTTGGATCCATCTCTGGTATTACGGTTGTTCCATCTTCTTAGCAAAACAGAATTGTGAACCTTAAGATATCAATTCGAAACTTCCCTAACAGTTTGGCATTCTAAAGTCTTATTCTAATAGTTGTAGTAGAAATACTGACATTGATAATGAAAAGGATTATGGTGATGTCAATGATACCACTGGAGAATCTCCTCTGGTAATTTTAGAGTGATATCCGTTTCTATCTTGGTAAGTACAATGAAACCCTTTACTTCCTCAAAATTGTACTTATTGTGACATCAATTATGATAGCATCAACCCTCCATAGAGAAATCACTTTAGACCCATAAGCCAATGCAATGTTGGTAACCAAAGATTGCACAGATATTGATCAATATAATCTCAAAATCAACTAGGCCAAAGTGAATTCCATTCAAATTTGAGGAAAGACATCTTACTGAAAAGCGAATAAAGGATCAAAACTGCGCATGCACCAAAAGAGTGAAAACCACCAAAAACAATATGGGCATTCAATGACGACTTTGGAATTCGTTAAAATGATGGCCATTTAGGTATCTTAGGCAATTCTCCCCGAAATTTTACAGATAGTCGAGGAGTCATCACTGCAATGGAAAACTGGCCTTAACTACAGGCTACAATTTAGGACTACAGTATAGTTGCAGAACAAACCAAAATTGGAGTGACCAAATCATCAATTAAGAGTCCACACTATTACTAATTGTACCATCAATCTAAGACACACATCGGGGGCAATTACCTGTAAAATAAACTCCCTAGATGCACACTGAAAAATTAATTTCGCCTTTTAACACAATGGCGATGATGATGACGACGACAATGGTAATAATACAACCCTAAAGAGAACATATAACTATTATCAAATACATGCTTCAGCCATCCAAATAAATATGATCAGTACTCCTCCCAAAATGAAGGGAAGGATAACTGGGGTGAAAAATCATCCCTAAATGAGATTTTTGTGACAGATTTGAAGTCAAATACAAGATAAAGAAGAAATATAGCCAGAAAATACCTGTTGCTGACTGTAATCATTTCCTCATTTTGGTTCATCATAACATGGTCCAAAGGACAGTACTTTTACCCAGTCTCCTGATCATGACCTACAGCATGTCGATGACTAAAAGTCCCTCTCTCAACATCCTGACCGCTCAATCTGACATGATTACCTTCTACAAGTAATGTAGCAAAAGCAAGTGCTTCTCCAACCGCCCAGTCAATGCCTTCACAGGTTTCAATCATCTTTGCACGATCTGTAAAAATCTTCTGCACAATTCTATGAGGCTTAAAAGTATCTGGAAGGATTGTTATTGCTTTCCCAACATTCTTCAAAATCTCAGGTTTTACCCTGTTGGATAGCATAAGATTTTAAGCATAGATATCCTTTGGTCAGTTATACTGGAATTGTGCACTACGAATCCCAACATACCCAGTGTTACGGATACGTGAAAGCTGTTCAGGGGACTTAAATCCAAGCCAAAATGCTGAAAGCCAGTCCCTTCTTTGTGGGACATAATCTTTGCTCGCTAAGAATTCCTCATTCAAAATTGTGTTGACCTTGTTGTGAATCCTATCTATGTCTTCTTTAGTCGCCTGACCACATTCTAAAAGTTTCTTCTGGTAAATCTCAAGTGCTGAGGGATGATTCCGAATGACCTACCAACACCCAATCAAGTCAAGATGTGAGAAATGATGCCTAGAGCAATTAAATACCGCCAAAGAAACAAACAGGCTTAAAATAGGGAAAACAGTGTTCAAAATAAATAGTACAGGAAACCAATTCTGTGCAACTTTAAAAATATAACAGGCCTAACCTGATACATTTTCGGCTGAGTGAAAGATGGTTCATCAATCTCATTTTGCCCAAACTGACGATAATAATCTATGTCAACCACTACATCCGAGTGGAAAGTCTGACGCCACTCTGCTGCAAGTTCACATGCATGAACAACTGCTTCCATATCATCACCATTGACATGGAAAATGGGAGCATTTAAGGCTTTGGCAACATCGGTACAATACTGTGAAGATCTTCCCACCTTCGGATCAGTTGTGAAGGCCACTTGATTATTCACCACAATGTGTATGGTCCCACCAGTAGTGTAATTAGGAAGAGCACTTAGATGCAGGGTCTCATAGACCACACCTGGCCCTGCAAAGCTACCATCCCCATGAATCAGAATACCCATATTCTTTGTTCTAGCCACATCATATGAGTAATACTGTTTTGCTCTTGTTTTCCCTACCACAACTGGATCCACAGCTTCCAAGTGACTCAGATTTGCAACCAGAGACAAGTGAATTCTCTAACCACCCCTAGTTGGCCAATCATAAGATGTTCCTAAGTGATATTTGACATCGCCTGTTCCTGTGTAAAGCCCAACTTCGTCCACTGGCTTTGTACCACCGCTAAACTCACTAAATATTTGACGCAGTGGCTTTCTAACAACATTACCCAGAACGTTCAATCTCCCTCTGTGTGACATTCCAATAACTATGCTTTCAACCCCAAGATCCGCCGCTCTATCAAACATCTCCTTCATGCCGGGAATCAAAGTCTCACCACCTTCAAGCCCAAATCTCTTGGCTGCAGTTCACTTAGTAGCCAAGAAATTCTCAAACTGAGTGCTCCACATAAGCCTGTCAAGTATAACTTCACGATGCTGCCGATTTTATTGCATTGGTGTCGGAGTCTCAATCTTATCTCGCAACCAATTACACTGGTCCCTATCAGCAATGTGCATGTACTCGTAGCCAATACTTCTGCAGTAAGCCTGCTAAAGCCTTGTTAATACTACCCTAAGGGTTTGCACAAGATGATTCTCCGACAAAAACCCAGCCATCCTCCAAACACCGAGGTAAAATTCTCGATCAAGATCTGCTTCTGTGAAGCCATAAAGAGCAGGGTCTAAATCCTCAGGAATTTCCCTCTGTTCCAAAGCTAATGGGTCCAACTTGGCTTTCATGTGACCATTAACCTGATAAGCTCTCACAAGCAACAGCAACCGCATACTCTCTTGAATAGTTTGGCCAGAAATCCCAGGTGATGTGGCTGCCGGGCCAACAAAGTTCCTAAAGAAATTGTCCCACGACTCATCTACACTGCTTGGGTCATGCTCCCAAGCCCTCTGAAGCTTCTCTAGGTAAACACTGCTAGTCCCATCTAAGAAGCTATCAGTTAACCTGGAGAGTGGAACAGGTCGAGGAACAGGTGCAGATTGTGCATTTGATCTGAAAACAGTCGTTTGAAAATATCGATTTTGAGATGGAATAACCCGAGCTCTTGCTGCATGTGAACCACCCTGCGACAAAGTCCTCTGAATGACAAGCTTTGCCACACTAGAACCAGCTCTAAGTCAGGCCATTGCCAATAAACCAAATCCTCAAAATTACTTCAATCTATTTGATTTCGCAAAGAAAGTACAAACTCACCAATTGTTTCCTCAAACAAACTCAAAGCTTACAAATAGTCACTTCCCTCTTCTGTCAATGTAACAAACGTTAACCTAAACAAACAACAAATAAATAAAGCGAAGGATAAAATAGGAGAGCATCAAAAGCTCGGGGGGAAAAATCCAAATACCATCGACAGTCCAAGCATTAAATTTTATTTTTTTTGCTAATTCACGATGTTTCGCTGTTATAAATCTATAATATAAAATAGGGCGGCTTCAACAAATCGATCTTATGGTCTCAAATTTATTCATCCAAGAGTCAAAAAATTATAATTTTTTTCTTTTATATTTTTTCCCCAATAAGTCAACGATTACGACTGATCTTAGAACATATCTTACGGTCTCAAATTTATTCATCCAACCGTGAAGAAATTAACATTTTTTTCCTTAATATTTTCCCTCCCAATTGGTCAACGATTACGACTGATTTTAGAATATAGGATTTTCTCTGATATAATAATTAAATAGGTCAAATTTGTCATTAATATCTTTTGTGTAGTGTAATATTTTGAATTTGTATAAAACATAATTATAACATTTTGATTAAAAAAAGTTCATTAATTTAAGATAAAACAAAAACAAGGGTGTTGCTTAACACATTTATATTAAATATAATTTTATTTATTTAATTAATTATCTCAAACTAATATGTCTCATACATATCTTGAATCAAAAATTCAAGACTAATTTTTTTTATATCTTAAGGATACCCAACGCTAATACATTCTTTTAAATAAATAATTTTGTAATAGCTTGTACTAATTAAAACAATAATATTTTATAAATGATATTTATAGATCTTTTTTTGATAGAAAATATTTTAGCGATATACTTTTTGATAAATTAAAATTTTAGTTTGTATTAAATTTAACTTGGTTTTGATTATATGTATATAAATTAACATTTTTTTAAGTCAATTTTATCATATTTCGTGAAGTTATCTATAATATGCATAATATAAAATAGGGTGACTTCAATAGGCCTATCCTATAGTTTAAAATTCATTCATTCTACTGCCACCAATATCTTTCTCAAAATTATTCATATTGAATTTTGACCTTCTCTTCTCGCTCTTTACTCTTTGTCTTTAGCAGTGACACTGAGGAGGAGGGGTTTGAGCCTACCTTGAAAAAATATATATTTTTTTAGTTATATCAATCTTATATATTTTTTGGATTAATTGGGTCCAATGTAATGACTTATGAAAAACATAATTGATTATATCAAACAAGTTGGGTACTAGAACAAAAAAACAAAAGCAAAAAGTTCATATCAATCTCTTAAAAATTAGCAAACTAAAATTGATTATTTAGAGTATTGGTATGATTATACATAAAGTGTGTCCACCCTAAATCATATTTTTGGCGGTGCCACCGTTCTCCGCGATCTTCACTTTTCACTTTTTCAAATTAATTCGTTGATTTATATTGCACCGTGCTTTCAAGCACAAGTTACCCCTAATACGATCATATTACATCCAAGGTCACTTACCAGTGTAGGGTCTAAAATTATAGCCAACTAAAATTCAAAAAGTGAATTAACAAAAAATAAAAAAACAAAAATTAACAACCTCTATTCGGAATCAAAACCCATAGAAATCAACTGAAGATCAAATGAATCAAACAGCGAAAATTGCATGCATAGAATCAATATAAAAAAAAAATTCTCAAAAAGTCGTTAATAATTCATGAATAGACACATCTACTCAGGTGTAATTTAGAACAAAAAGATTGAATTAAATAGGCATAGTAAAGAAGTGGTGTTAGGGGTAAAAATCGTGCATTTGGATCTCATTCCTGAACATTAAGAATTCTGGCTGGGCTGCACTCTTTTCTAAGGCAATACAATAGTTTTTACCTCCATCCCACATCGGGTAGGAGTCGTCTTCTCCCCTGCCATATAAATGAACACTTTCTATGGAGGGGGTACCCACTTGATCTAGTGGCTAGTGGGTACCCCCTCCATAGGAAGTGTTCACTTATATGATAGGCGGGAAGACGACTCCTACCCGATGTGAGATGACAGTAAAGGCTACTATATGATCAAGTGCTAGTGGGTACCCCTCCATAAGAAGTGTTCCTTGGTGTTCAGAGATGAGATTCGAACTCGCAATTTCTACCCCTAACATAAAAGACGCCTTTTGGTGGACAGGATTCCCTCCCTCCGAAAGGATTTTGGCTGGCTTTCATAGGAAGTGTTCACTTATATGACAGAGGGGGAGACGACTCCTACCCGATGTGGGATGGAGGTAAAAAGCTACTGTATTGCCTTAGGAAATTGTGCAGGCCAACCAAAATCCTTTCGGAGGGAGGGAATCTTGTCCACCAAAAGGCTCCTTTAATGTTAGGGGTAGAAATCGCGCGTTCAGATCTCATCGCTGAACACCAAGGCGTTCGGATTTCATTCCTGAACACCAAGGATTCTGGCTGGCCTGCACCCTTTCCTAAGGCAATACAGTAGCCTTTACCTCGCAGTGCTCGTGTGGAGCTTCGTCCCACATCGACTGAGAGTTGTCTACCCCACGTATCTCTGGTGGGTACCCATCCCTAAGGGGCTCAGGCTTATAAAGGGGTGGGGGAGACGACTCTCAGTCAATGTGGGACGAAGCTCCACACGGGCACTGAGAGGTAAAGGCTACTGTATTGCCTTAGGAAAGGTGCAGGCCAGCCAGAATCCTTGGTGTTCAGGGATGAGATCCGAACACGCGATTTTTACCCCTAACAGATGGAATGAAAATAGAAGCTTAATAAATTGTGGAACATGAAAGGTTTATGAAATGAATACATGAGAAACGAAGAAAGTGGAAGAGAAGAGAGATCAAATGAGAGGTGCTCATATGAACCCTAGTAGTGAACGCCGACTAGAGCGAAATCGCAGGGAAAACGATGACTTTTCATCAGATGCTCGCTCGCTCATATATGCTATAATTCTTTCTTCCTCGTCTACGAGAAGGAAACTCAAATTACTCATCTACGTTCCTTTTATTATTGGGATTTTCTCATTTTGGATTTTTAAAATATGTCGATTCCCATTTTATACTTTTAAAGTTATTTTAATTCTCATTTTGCACTCTGAAAAATTATTTTTTATTACATCCTAAATATTATAAATTAATTTTAATATAATCTTTGAACTAAGATTCGTTTCAAATTTCATTAAAAATTGGTGTTCCTAGGAATGTTAATTAAACCAAATTTTACGAGTTTGAATCCAAACTTATGTTTCTAAACAAATTTAAAAAATTGTTCAATTTTGGCTCACTTAAAACTCAAGCAGAGCTTGAGCCAAAGCCAAACTAGAGCTGAGCCCAAGTAGTTCGATTACTTTACATATAAACGAGTTGAATTTTGCGAGTTTGAACCGAGCATTTTAGGTTCGTTTAAAACCTAAAAATATGAGTGTTCAATTTTCTGATTAGCCGCAATTTTCTACCCTACCCGACTCTATTGAACTGCTAGTCAAAAAAATCGGATAGAAATGCGGAATAGTTTTTGATTTATCGGGTAGAAATTCAAAATAGTCATTAATTTTCGTATTTCTACCTTACCTTACCCGCATTATATATATATAAACTAAAAACCCTAATTTCCTAACCATATGGTTTAAATTAGGGGTAACAAATAGGTGGATTGGGTTGGTTATGGGTTGCGTTAAATTGGATTGGGTTGGTTATGGGTTGCGTTAAATTGGATTGGGCTAAAATAAATCAAATCTATTTTTCACTCACCTAATAAATGAGTTATAATAGATTGAGTTTATAACGGGTTGGGTTAAACCGAAAAATGTATAAAATAATTAAAATTCTTAATAGACACATTAGGACACCAAAACACACACATATTAGTAGTACAATAAAATACAAACATACATAAACACACTAATACACCAAAAATACACACACATATACTAACACAAAAACTAAAACATATTTAATAAAAAAATACACACATAGTGGGTGGGGGTCAATTGTGGCCTATGGATTAGTTTGTGGGTCATGGGTCAACCAGGGTCATGGGTGGTGTGTTTGTGTGTGTATTATTGGTGTACTAGTGTATATATATTTTGGTGTATTAATGTATATGTGTGTATTTTTTGGTGTAATAGTGTGTGTATTTTTTAGTATATTAATATATTTATTTAATTTTACTATTTGTGTTATTTAATAAAATAAATAAATACTCAACTCAATTGGTACCTATTTGTAATCCACATTAATTCGCTTAATTAAAACGAATCATATTACCCAACCCATTTAAAACTCATATTAATTAATATAGGTACCTAACCCAATTATTTATGGGTGGGTTGGGTGGGAAAAAGGGTTAAGATTGTCACCTCTAGTTTAAACTTAAAATAATTGTTATTGTAGTGTAACAATTATAATGGATTGATGTTTATACTTTTTTGTATTTTATTGTAATTGTTTTAGATTTTAGTGTTATTGGTTTATTGTGTTATTAAATTAGTACATGTTATTTAATTGAATTGTTAAAATGATCTAAAAATTAATAATTACAAAAGTGTTCATCGATTTTCTACCCGATTTTTTACCACACTTGATCGGATAGGATAGACCAAGAAAAAATTCTTTGAAATTGATCCGAACTATAAGAGGGTTATTTAATGATTTAATTATTTATGGTCTATGTGTATCATGATTCCAAGAACTTCCCCTCTCTGGGAAGCTATGTGGATAAGTGGCCACGAATGCAGTTGCATGCTCCATCAGAAAGCACTACATTTGCTCTATATCACTGCTTTTTTGTTGCACAACACAGGTGGGAACTTGGGAAAGATTGGCAGGTCATTCAACTTATTATACACAAAGTTTTGTTGTACTTGTACTATTGTCCTCCAACCCATCCTTTTCTTTTTTAATGAGGTAATATTATATGATATTATAGCAATGGACATCTCTTCTAGTTTGCTATCAGTGAAACCATTATGGATCCATGTTTCTCATTAGAAAGATAAGTTGTTAGCATTTTAAGGACAATTCCCTCAAACAGCTTCATGGGGAGGTATTGCGTCAGAACCATCAACAGACTCATGATATGAAGTCCTCTTACCATCGTCCCTTGTATTCAATTGTTGGTCAATTGGCGTTATCCAATCACCATCTGACTTACATATGCTTTCCTCCGACTTGGATACACTTTGATCCTTGCTCTTACCCCATATGACCATGTATAGACCAGCAACTATGGTGACTGCTCCAAGGACCCTGCAGACCAGAACTCAGTGACTTCTGTTAGCTTTGTGTATTAGATTCTTGAACAACATCTTTAATTCTCAACATTTTTGCGAGTGAATTTTGAAATATATACTTTCTTCTTCTTGCTGTTTTGGCACTTTTAGCAAATTTCCCCCCAAAAAGAAGAGAAAAAGGGGGGGGGGGGGGGGGGGACTTGTACTAGAGGAAGAATAATGAATTGCACATACTTTCCCAAGTCCATCTGCTCTGCGAAAATGAAGGAGCCCATAATTGCTATGATAACCATGCTTAGAGGATTAAAGACTGTTACAAAAATCGGCCCCTTTTCCTTCACTATTGTTCCTGAAACATAAGACATTACCCCTGAATTGATAATGCCCTGCATCCAAATACCATCCATGAGTATAAATGCAGAATCTTATATTAACTTGTGAATTGTGATATATATATGTGTTTGTGTTTGTGTATCTATATGTTTTGGTGCACGCATTATGTATCACTTTACTTATTGGTAGCTGTTAGGCTACTTGCATTTCCGATACGTATCACTTATAGGAGGTATTATAAGTGCCCACCCTGCCAACAAAAGTTGGGTTGAGAGCTTCTTACACAATAAAGAGCAGCCAATAATTTTGTATCCCATTGTATGGACCAGATTGTGGTGTTGCCCCTTTCAACTACAAGGGTGAGTATAGTGCCTTGCAATGCCCCCATCATGCATGTCAGAGATGTGAGGGAGAGTACGACAGGGTAAGATTTCAACGTAATTGCCTACAGAAACAAGCAATGTTATAATCTGGTTATTATGATATAGGAGATTATAAGCACAAAGTATGATGATACTAGAACTATTGGACTTTATGTGGTGAAATTAAAACAATTCCACTGAATAAATGTGTAAAAGATAGTTGAGGGTATGGGAATCTCTTACTTGAAGGATGTAAAAACATGCCCAGCAGAAACATCCTGACATTATCATGAGGGCGCCCTTAATCGAATCTTGCTGATTTGTAGCACTTGTAGATTGCTCATGGATTTTGTGTTTGGTCCATGGAAATCTAACCGAGGGCCCTTCAATCAGTGTCATAATCATCGCTCCACTGACGATCACCAGTGTCCCTACTATTTTCGCCTGGCTGTGTACTTTCCTAATATCTACCCACTCAAGCCTGAAAACCCGGCCACCACCAAAATCACCCCATTATAATTTCCAATAAATGTAATGACAATATGTTCTTTGTACGAGAGTGTTAGTAGTATGTTTTAAAACCAATTATATAGATGATCTTTTAGGGTTGTACTAGCAATATTCATTACTTAATTAAATAAAATAACAAGTTTATTTATCATGTTTCTACTTTATTTCATTTTAATATACATGATATAGTTCATAGAGTATAAGTTAAAAAGATAGTTTCTAAGGTGTTGAGAAGAGCAGACTTATACTTCTTAGTACTTAACTCTTAAATATTTCTAGTCATAGGGTTATTATTTGGGCACTACGTAATCCGGATAGACTAGCACACACTATGTTTACTCATATTTGATATGAGATGACTCATCCAAGTCACTAGTGTTGGGACACTAAAACAAGTGTGTGGGTGCTTGTTAGAGAACAAGTACACTGTACGTGACCACTGGCTAACGTAAGATTTTTCGTATAGAGTTTTACGTGTCTGTTAATGTTAAATCCTAAAGTTATAGTTATGCAACTGATGCTTAGACTTGAGACATTATGGTTGTTTTATGCATGAACTTCTATACTTTAACTATACAATATATTCAAATCATGTAACTTGGATATGTATTGTTGGACATAATTAGGCATGCATGAAGACTTATGAGTGTACAAAGTAGAATCTATCATCCATAGTAATTAAAGAGAAAATGTTCTATGTGATCTTTTGGGATATGACTCAAAAAATCCTTAACCAAGGCAGAATGACAATTAGAAAAGAGTTTTTAATTGATCATTAATAGTTATAGTCTTAAGATCGAACACATAAAATTGAATTAGGGGTTTGACAGTAATTTTATACCCTAGTAATTCAATTGGGGCATTATATGATAGAATGATTGAATTGCATGACAACTATAGACTGAATGAGTTATTTACCTATTTCGTGCTATCTGGAGGTTGATTATGATATGCTGCTAGGTGTCACTTATGATTAGTAGAAGCTCGAAGAATGAAATTAATATAAATATATATTAATTGTTCTTCATTAAGGAAGAATTAGAAGAATTCTAATTCAAGATAAATTAGAAAGAGTTCTAATTTAACATACTACTTGTAGTTAGTATTGAATACATATAACTGGGTATGCTTGAACCTATTGGATCACATATAATAGAATTGATTGGAAACTAAAAAATAAAAGAGCGACAACCAATTAAGAGTTAATTAGGGTGAAAACCTAATTAAGAATTAATTAAAGACTTTATTACAATTAATGTTTATAAAGGGATTATATGTAATTATAAGAAAATTACAATTTGACCCAAACTAGGATTAGAGCTTTTAAAGCTCTATAAATACCTTAATGTAGGAGATGGATTATAGATATAGAAATAACAACTCTCTTACTAGCACAAGAAGAACCACCACTCATTCTCTCTCTCTATTAATTTATTAATAGTTGAAGTACTTCCTTCGAGTTTGTCAATTCGTGTGGATACTGATAGAGGCCAACCGTTTGCGAGGCTTGAGTAAAGATCAAATTCAAATTTGAAAATTTAAAGTTTTTGACAATGTTTGAAGATTGTTAATAACACGCTTCAAGAGGTAATCCTTAATCTTCTTTATAGATTTAAGGTTTCTCGGTTTGTATTAAACATGAATAAATCTTGATCCGAGGAATCAAATTATTATTTTTAAATTCTGTTGTGTTTATTATATGATTCGTATATGTTACTTGTGTGCATGCATGTGTCCATGAATATTGGTGTATTTATGTTTGTGATCATGTCGTTACCTTAGAATCCAAGCCATTAAAAAAGTTATGGCAGGAAGAATGTTGCCCATTGCTGATGCAAAAGTTGCTGTTGTATACTTCATCCCGGCATAGAACAGATTCTGGTCGATAACGGGCCTGTGCAAGGTCTTAGTTAGAGAAACGGAGTTATACCCATACTGAGATCCATGAGAGGAAAGATAGAGATTAAGGTATATACTCTAACAATCCGATCAACATTATCTTCAAGAAAATGGGGGTGGTCATTCTTGGCCTTACCCTCCTGTTAAGTAATAGAATGGTGATTAGTTCATGTTTTTATGTAGACATAGACACCCATGCATGACACAAAGCAAAGAGTTGAGATAGACCTTTCCAAGATTATAGCAAAAGGAGCAAAGACAGCAGTGGCAACGGCATTTCGATAGACCGCAAAGGTATAATGGCTCATTCCTTGATTTAGAGCAGACTTAACTATTATACCTGTACCGGCAGAGCCAAACTGCAAGAAAATTACAGCCAAATATGGCTTTGCTCGGTTAAAAAATTGATTGTTGTCCATTTCTCTCTAGGTTCCTCTGCTTCTGTGTGTGTTACTGCAAGAAACTTGTGAGGAAGTAATATAGCAGCCTGACCTGCTTTTATATAAAGGGACCCTTATGAAGCCTAATGACACCACTATGTAACTGAAAGGAATTAAAGATCACAATCAGTGGCATTTTCTTCATAAAGTATCAAATCCCTCTGCCACTTGATAAAGATATTTGCTACAACGTCTATACCACATCATCGTTTGAACGTGGTATCACCGTCGAATCAAAACAATGCTCGGTGAGTTTTAATTGGTCAAATAGAGAATCTGACAAGGTCAACCACTGGAGGTTCTAGTCTAGCCTTCTGAGATCTGGCTGATTGGTTGTTGCCACTTTTACTTGAGTTGTCATGGCTGCATTAGCCATTTAGTGTATTCCACTATCTGCTTGATTTTAGACCAAGTTTTGCAAGTTGAACTTGCTTTGTTTATGGAAATCCTCTACTCTCGATGCACTATGAAGCAGGTCTTGAAATACGTATTGGGGGCATTTTAGTCATTTCACATGATATATTGCTAGCTATCCTAGAAAACATATTATATGCTTCTGCTGTAATGCATTCCTATTTTGCGCCATCTCATGTGTACGTTTATGTAGTGTTTTCAGGGTAGAGAATTTTGTAGAGGTTGATTCTCGGATTTAAATCTGTAATATATTTGTTTGAACGCTTGTCATCGCTCTAAGGTCGATCTCTTAACTTATCTTGTTCAATTTATCTTTATCAGAGCACATTAAATGCATGATTTGTAATGTTGTTTGACATTGTTATGACTTTCGGGGCTATTAGGTATCAACCCATAAGAAATCACATTCACAATTATATCTTTATTAAAAATTCAATATAGTACGGTGAATGATCAATCCTAATCTAAATTTTACTCGAGTTCCTATTATTTTTTTACCTTTCCTAATAGACTTTTGAGTCCAGAAACCTAAAACATGATGTTCCTTTTATGCCCCAACATAAATATGTTGTAGATAGATATATCTCAGTGAGGGCAGACTTTAGCGTAGCGATAAGGTTGTTCTATTGTGACGTGAAAATTACAGATTCAAGTTGCGAAAATTGACTCTCTGTATGTAAGGGTAAGACTGTGTACATCTAATTTTTTTAGACCCCGCAATAACAGGCGTCTCGTGCACTGGGTATGCCTTTTAGATAAATATATCTTAGTGGCTGGAAATTAAAGGAGAATGAGAGAGAGAAAAAAAAAAAAAAGATATAATGTGTGATGTTAAACTGCAATTGTAAACAAAAATGCCATCCGTCTCATACTTTCACAAAGTTCATTTCTTGCTGTGATTGGCCAATGCATTGTGTATGCAAGCTTTATTAGGCAAAGTGATGTAGGACAGATTAAGTGTATCTTAATCATTTTTTATTTTTATAGAATCAGAATTTTACAGGGAATATTCTGTTTTATTCTAAAATGATCAGCTGTCTATTTCAACACTATTTTTCATTTTCCAAATAATATCTCTGTTATCTTTCTATAATATTTCATAATATTTTATCTTTGTTTTTTTTGTGATTCCAAGGTTTAATTGACCATGGGTAGCTTAAGTGATAACATGAATGAATTATAAATTTATACGTCTTAATTTTGTATCTTGGTAATTCTTTGAGGTTAGACAACGAGGGATTTATCCCTCATAAATACCCTAGTTTCGACATGGATGATTTACTTTTAATTGGACCGGAGATGAGATTAGTCAAAGTGTGCGTAAGTTGATCCAAACACTCCAGATCGTTAAATCCAAAAAAAAATTTGTGGGGTAATGTTTTGGTGTCGTGTCTCCTATTTTCCAGAACATGTTAAGTGTAAAATTTATATATTTTTATTATTTTTAATATCAATTATCACAAATAAATTAATATAAGATTTATCGCAATAAAATTGGTATGGTACCAGCTTGGTACCATGGTGCCCTTCCAAATTTGTGTAATTGTTCTTATATAAAAGAATGTGATTTTCCATGTTCAGTATTGATGTGTCACTCATATTCATAGCCGACTCATAGGCTAGGTTGTTAAAGTGGCTGCCTAGAGTCTTAAAAAATTTAAGGTCCGAAATAAAATTTTTATACCTAGGTTCAATTTGATAGTTTTATTTAATAATCGAGTCGAATTTTGCGAGTTCGAGTCGAGTGTGTCGAGCTCGTTTTTTTAAATGAGTCTAAAAAATTATTCAAATTCAGCTCGTTTAAAAAATGAGTCAAGTCTAAAATGAGTCTGAACAATTCAATTATTTTACATATAAACGAGTCAAATTTTTTAAGCTCAATTTTTAAACGAGTTTAAAAAATTATTTAAGCACAACTCATATTCTATTTGAGCCGAGCCCGAGTAACTTGGCTCAATTACTAGTCCTAATTTTATATTTTGAGCTTCAAATAAATTTTTTTAGGGCCTTTAAAAATATGATAGCAATAGATTCAAATTCAATTAATTAAGTTTAATTTTATTTTTATTTTTATATCCCCTAAATAAATTTGAAACTCACTAAATAAAATGTTTAGATCTAATTTCCAAAGCCAAAATTTATTTTTAGGGTCTCCCATAACTCTAATATGAAGGGTCTCGATTCATTTCACTTAAGCTTAATTGGGCCCTTAAACAAATGTAACATTCACATTTTTCATAATAATGAAATTTGTGTAAAAAAATTAAATTATAATATATATACATTCTAAATCATTGTTTTCAACTACTTTGGACAACTTGAAAATCATTCAAATTATTATTTTTGTATAATCCGATAGTCTTTTGATTAATTAGATTTGTTTAGATTTGAATTGAGTTTGTTAAAAAAAATAAAATTTGGTAATTTTCAATATAAAAAAACAATTTTTACTTTAACATTTCAAAAAAAAATGAAAAGTAATTTTCACATAAATATAATATCATTATATTATAATGCAATAAAAATTGATTTGATCTCATTTGAAATTTTTGCTTTAGACCCCAATTTATGTTGGGCTGCCCTTCTTCCATATGCAAATAAAATAGAGGAAGCATTACAATTACCCAATGCAATTCATGTCTTGTCTCCCACTTGATAAAAACTAACAGCAAACCTTTTGGAAGTTTTTATGAACTGTCACAGATATGTAGTATGCCGTGACGCAGAAGAGATCAAATATTTTTTTAACCTTCTAATCTTTCCAATTATTTAATCTCTTTCTCTCTCAATCAGTTTTGTTTATCTTCAATAAAATACTTGTCACTCCCACTTAACTTTTGCCTAATTATAATCGAGGAATAGAATTTGAAGGTAGACGTTGATGCATTAGTAAGATTATTCTATAATAATCTAGACATCACGGGTTTAAAAATCATTGAAACAACCTCTGGAACTTTTGTAATGACTTGATTGTTGTGTTCTGAGTTACATTTTTTATTTTTAATCCAGAAATCGAATTCTTACCCTATTATTTCCTCCAGGCTATGTTCATAAAAAAAGAAAAAAAAACAAAGGAATTTTGTAAAGAAAATGAGTGGTAGAAGTACAGGAAAGAAGATTGAATGGAGCGTTGCTCACGTTTCACTCCAAGCAATAAGTGGGACAGCTGCCTCAGCAAACACTTCAAGTGGTTGTATATGCATAACTTCCTAAGGATATTATTAGCCTTGTAGTATGCCAAAATCATAATTGATGAGTTGAGGAATGCTATTGGGACATAATGTATTATGATTAATGGAGTGATAGCAGATGCATTTAATGCTGTAATGGATCCCATCATTAAATATATTCTCTATCAACTCTTTAGTCACAATGCATTATATCCCTAAATTACGTTCCTCAATTATGTTACAATAGCATTAGTGTTGATGTGTTTTCGTAACTTGTTTCATTATGCAAAGGTTTGTTCTGGACCACGCCATTCGATTGAGATTATCAACTTCTTTTGGGGATTGCCACTGGAATGAACATTAGATTCTGTTTTGCCATGTTCTTAGAGAGGAAAACCAATGCACGCACAAACCAATGGGTTTTTTTGTGGAAATCTTGAGTCAAACAATATGAGGCCGTAACACTGACCTCTTTTTTTATTGATTCAATACAATAGGGGAAAAGATCGTAAAGTCCTCTCTCACAGATCTTCTTGCCTATCTTGGAGAAAGGAAGGTGGAGAGACTCGCTTACAGCTTTATGCTCTATTTCACTCCCCGATATGAATGACTTGGCATAATGCATGCCTTGGCCACTGCAAGATTATTCACTTTTGGCGTCGATTCTTTGCTATAAGTTAAACAAATCACCACTAAAAACAAATCTTTCAGGATGAAGCCTACATATTGTCGCCAAAAGCAATTCTTTGAGAATTTTATGCGACGACGATGTAATTCACGGTGTGATATAAATTTAAATTCAAACATTGATTTATGCGAGTTCAATAAGTTATTTGGTTACCCACTTTGACTTCCTTGATTATCGCAGGTGCACCACAATTCTTTTGCCATCTGACAATGATTTTACATTTGCTAGCAAATTCATCTGTTAGCCAATTAGTTTATTTTTTTCTGTTGATTTTGTCTTTATCTATACTATTAATTAAGAGAGATGAGGAGTTTCTTATTATAAACTCTAATGCTATTGGGACATAATTTAGGAACTTAATGAATTTTGATTATTGGATTAATATTGTTGAGACTCAATGATAATTTAATATTGGGACTCATTGACAATCTAATGACCACAATCATTAAATCTCCAAATTAACCGACAATAACCGTCCATAACTTTTCATCTTTGTCCGTCTTTTTGACCCTCTCTCTCTCTCTCTATATATATATATATAGATATAGACAATAAACTACAATAAAAATCAAATCTCAAAATAAAAATAAAATAACTTTTGCTTTTTGCGGTTGAGATATCTTTAAATTTTACTTTAAAATTAATTCGATTATTAATATTAACTCTCCAAATTTAATAAGAAAATAAGGCCCTAAAGGTGTGTTTTGTGTGATTTTTTAAAAATACTTTTAGAACTTATAATTTATCATAAATACTTTAAAAAAAATAGTGTTTGAAACTACCATCACCACCACCGCCACCGCCACCACAACAACCACCATCATCCTTGCCACCACTGTCGCCACCTCATCATCACCACCATCAACACTACCACAACCCCCACCACCACCACTACCATCCTCCTTGCCCCACCACCACCAGTATCACCACTACCATCACCACTATCATCTCTGCCACAACAACCACCTCCATTGCCTCTGCCACCGCCATAATCATTGTCGTTATCCCACCATCACCACTACCTCCACTGCCCCACCACCACCATCCCCACTGCCCCACCACCATCATCCCCATTCCCACCACCGCCATCACCACCACTGTCATCCGACCACCAACCCCACAGTCATTGCCACCGCCATCGTCGCCATCACCGCCACCTCACCACCATCACCGCCACTATCCCACTGTCATCCCCACCACCAATCGCTACCACTGTCATCCTTCACCACCACTCACTACTATCGTCATTTTATTCTTATATTTATTGTAACTACCATCATCATTTCATTATTACCATCGTACACCGTCAGCACCCACTCATTATCATAACCCACCACCACCTGTCGTCGCCCACCACTACAGCCACCCATTGTCACCCACACCTACCACAACCACCACCACCACCATCATTCGCCACCATTTATCACATTGTCGCCCATAATCATTTGTCGTCGCTCACGACTACCATTGTCACCACCCACCACCACCATTACTAACCACCATCACCGTCACCCACCACCACCACCCACATTCACCACCACCACCGCCATCACCCATACCTCTCACTATCACCATCGTTACCCAAAAATCACCACTATCATTACCGTTGTCACTCACAACTTTCACTCTCACTACGATCGTCACCACCTACCAAAATTATCACCGTCTGTCACTGCCACCACCATTGCCACCCACCACCACTATCACTGCTCACCCCCGCTATGACTAGTATTTAAATTATTTTCTCTTTCATATATGTTTGTGATTTGATTTTATATTTACACTTAAAATCTCAAGAACGTGCAACGTCATACCAGAACGAGGTGTTGTGTCTCTAAAACACGTTGTAATTGTTATGGACTAAAGTCCTACGTATAAGTTGAGTAGTCCATGATCAAAAAAAAAAAAGTTGAGTGGTGGGGAAAGATGACCCCAACAACCAGTAATCACGGACTATAAATACACAAAGGACGAGCCAGAGAAGAAGGATAACAACCCAAAAAACAGCACACCCAAACTTACTTTTGCATTGCTCCGATGGTCATGTCCCATTTCTTTTTTCAATACATTAACTGGTTTTATTTGGTTATACCCATTACCATTTTTTAATTTCTTTTTGTTTCTCTTTAAGCTTATATTGTTTCTTCATAAAAATAGTTACACCTCACAAAGACATAAAAAGAATCTAGAAATAGTATAACGCCATGTTACAATTACTTGAATAGTTATAGTTTAAAATTTTACGATAACATGCTTAAAATCGATACAAAATTAATCAATTAAGGTATATTATTTTTCAACACAAACCCGTAAATGACACAACCGGTTAACAGGAATAAATAATAGTTGAGTTAGTATCAAATACAAATAACACAAAATTGACATGATCAATATTTTTAACTAGGATTATAAAAATAAAATACTATTTTTTGTTATTTTTTATCAAGTTTTAAAATAATTCTTATACAAAAAAATATATATATATTTACTTATTTTATTATTATATTTTTAATTTATAAAAAAAGTACAAACACAAATTCGATTGAGTGATAATAAAATTTTAAACTGAAATTTTAGTGTTAGATTTTTTATTCACGGATTATGTGAAACAACATGAATACGACACCCAAAAAAAACACAAATTGAGTTGACACAGCAATATCAATTAAACTAGTGGAGTTAAAAGTGATTAGTGTTCGACACAAACACCTAAATGACACGACGCAAAAATACCTAGCACGATTTTCACCCCTCCATATATTCAATTAAGCTTGAAATAGAGACTCAGATCGATTAAGAACAAACTCAAAGGCTACTTTAAAAAGTTACATGGCTAAATTAAATAAGTATTAGACCATAATATGGTTATAATAGTCGTTGTTCTCCGAAATTAAGATCAAGTAACATAACACGAAGACGAACCAGTAATCCAAAAAGCAACAAGAGACACGGGGGAATAAACCTCGTAATCAACAACTGTGAGGAGAAAGATGAACAAATATGAATGGCAAGACCAGTATATAGAAACATAAGTATGGGAGGTTCATCCCAAGTAAGGTTGTATATAGAAACTTAAGCATATGCCCGGGCAACGAAAAGCCAAAAAATAAATAAGTAAATAATTTAAGAGTACTTAAAAGGTCAAAAATACTTTTAAAAAGGGCGTTTTGAAACGGTCTCTATATGACTGTCAAAATTCGATACGATGCGACATAATTAATTGACACAAAATTAAGCGAATTTTGGTAAAACCTTATCAAGTTCGGGTGATAAATAGGTGGATCCACCAAACCTGATAGTAAACAGATCGTATTAGGGTGAGACAAGTAAACTCGTTTATCACCTATTTAAATAAAATTAATATAATAATAAATAATTAATTATTAAAAAAAATAAGCAACTTAACTGTTTAACCCGATATGATTGACACCCCTACCGATAAGAACTGCAAACAATCGACCAACTTACATTTCTTATCCTTTATTTCTAGGGAATCCGCAAAATTGTTTACGGATATAAGCAAAAAATCATAGTGCAGAAAATAGATGAAATTCCACTTGAAACTGTTTTATTCTGACACACCTCTGCAAAACTCTATGAATCTGAAAACAGAGTTCGGTTATTCAAAAACAAAGAACACAGAGAGACAGCATTTGTATGATAGCACCTCTGCTAAAGAACCAACAACATACTTTACCGACAATTTTCAGAGTCCACCAAGAATGCATCTTCCATTCGGCATATCTCCGTTGCGCTTGATCAGTACTAGGAGGCTTCAATTAGGTTTGATTAATTGGTTCAGGCTGAAGAGCTTTCTGAACAAGTTCACTCTGCTCTTTCCCATGAACCTGATAGAAACCAGTGGCTGTTGCAGCAGATGGAGCACGGCCTGCGTATTTGATGTCATCCATGCTACCTCTGCCCAGGGCTTCATGGCAGTGCTAAGGCGGGGTGCAATGTAATTGTATGCACCCATATTCATCGGCTCTTCCTGGCACCAAACAACCTCTGCATCTGAAAATTTGACATATAGAACATTTAAACAAGTTAGTTTTATTGCATGGTGTCAACAGCATACTGATGCACCTAAACGACCAACCATGGTTTTCAAATTCCAGTCCCTCACCTCCACAGCAACTAAATTTTTGAAACAGGACGCATATTTTCGAGTCAATAAAACATTCAATGGAAATAAGGTGTATTCACAACTCTTTGATTCATGGCAAAATTCCACTGACACGCGACCAGATTCCTGGGTCCACACAGAAGTGCTGAAGTAAATCAAGGAAAGCGGACATCTTGGCATGGCGACCATAAAAGTATCTAAAACAGATCTTTGATGCACATGGCAATAGTGAATCTTACTATGCACAAAGGGAAAGATAATTCAACTCAAAGCTAACAGACCACTCTGGATAATACAGGACAGTAACAGTAAATTTCGCTTTAGTAGCAAGATTGAGATGCATACTTGGATAACGCTTCAGTTCACGCTGGACAAGATCATATGGGAATGGACAAAGCTGCTCCACCCTACATATTGCAATATCCTTGCAATTAACTTTCATAGTAAACCTGAACAAATGGGTATCGTACATTGTCATTATATCTGTATGTTTGCGTTGCAGTGACAGAAGTCCTCCTGCCAGGTAAATTTTAAGGAATAACATCTTTAAGGTATATCAGATGTTACCTAAACATATATTTGCATGCGTATGGGCTCAAATAAAATTGTGGGGGCAAAAGCAACGAAAGAATGTCACACCTTTCCGGAGCAAAGAACCAAACGCCTGATACCCTCCTCGAGATCTGAGCGGTCATTCTGGTCCTTTATTAGGCGCTTAAATCCGGTCCCTTGTTTATCAAAACCTGGATGGCCTTGGACATCATCATATTCAGAAAGATTGGATTTGCAATCCTTGTGGCGAAGCAAATTCTTCGGAGACACCACAATGAGAGGCTTTCGGAATTTCCTTTGTATCTGGAAGATGAAGACATAACACATGAGAGAGCAAAAACAAAAATCAACTAAAAGCATAAAGGCTTGTAAACCCCAGTTAGCTGCACTTGACGTCTCAGTACGGGGAAATAATTTGCCGGAGTGGTTACATTCACAACCAGCCAATTGCATTCCTGGATTTGCGTCCGAAGAGTTAGATCCATCTCTGGTATTACGGTTGTTCCATCTTCTTAGCAAAACAGAATTGTGAACCTTAAGACATCAATTCGAAACTTCCCTAACAGTTTGACATGCATAAGTCTTATTCTAATAGTTGTAGTAGAAATACTGACATTGATAATGAAAAGGATTATGATGATGTCAATGATACCGCTGGAGCATCTCCTCTGGTAATTTTAGAGTGATATCCGTATCTATCTTGGTAAGTAAAATGAAACCCTTTACTTCCTCAAAATTGTACTTATTATGATAGCATCACCCCTCCATAGAGAAATCATTTTAGACCCATAAGCCAATGCAATATTGGTAACCAAAGATTGCACAGATATTGATCAATATAATCTCAAAATCAACTAGGCCAGATTGAATTCCATTCAAATTTGAGGGAAGACATCTTACTGAAAAGAGAATAAAGGATCGAAACCGTGCATGTACCAAAAGAGTGAAAACCACTAAAAACAATATGGGCATTCAATGACGACTTTGGAATTCGTTTATATGATGGCCATTTAGGTATCTTAGGCAATTCTCCCCGAAAGTCTACAGATAAACGAGGATTCATCACTGCGATGGAAAACTGGCCTTAACTACAGGAGACAATTCAGGACTACAGTATAATTGCAGGACAAACCAAAATTGGAGTGACCAAATCATCAATTAAGAGTCCACACAATTACTAATTGTACCATCAATCTAAGACACACACATGGTTTAAACTTAAAATAATTATTATTGTATTTGTGTAACAATTATGATTTATTGATGTTTATACTTTATTGTGTTTTATTGTCATTGTTGTTGTAATTGTTTTAAATTTTAGTGTTATTGATTTATTGTGTTGTTAAATTGGTACAATTTATTTAATTAAATTGTTAAAATGATCTAAAAATTAATAACCACAAAAGTGTTCATCTAGCTTCCTATCCAGTTAAATTGGTCGGAAGTCGAAAGAATACAACATTTGATCGGGTAGATGAGGCAAACAAAATATTCTTATGCAAAGAATCGAATAAGAAGACGGAAGATCATATTTTCCTACCCGTAGAATAGGGTGAACTCCCTTACCTAAAAATTTATTCAACTTCAGTTCATTTAAAATGTAAGTCGAGTTCGACCCTAACTTTATATGAGTCTAGAATAATTTATATCCATTAACACCTTTAATACCACTCAATGACATGAATTGCGAGTCTGAATAGTTTCCCGCACGGTACGATCTTTCATTACAAGTCTTCACCAGCTTGTAGAATAAGAATTTTCTTTGTATTTTTGTACTCAAAATCCATGTCATTAGGTTCACGTGTGGTTTAGCTTTTAATAACATTGACATCCCCTAATATTTGGACCGATTTCGAGGATACCCTGAGCTTCAGAAATTACATTGACCCGCCTATTAGATTTAAAGGAGACGGTAAATTTTCAGTTTATCCTTTATCAAATCCCAACTTCAATAACCCTGCTGTTGTCAACAAACAGCCCATTGATCCTAAAAGTCCCTATTGCTTTCATGAACAAAACTAGTTTTGAAACCACACGATAACACCCCTTCGTCATCATCTTCTCTCTCACACACACACCCCAAAACACACATCCCCCTTCCAAAATGCCTCATGATCGAACCCCCACCTTGTCAACTTCCCATTGTCTCTATCTATCCATTTATCTATTTGTATGCATATGTTTATACGCAACCTTTATGTTGTATTTTGCAAAATTGTGTTGATTTGATTGGTCTGGCATGTCTGGGTTGAAATTGGAGGTACCAGGTCTGGAGTGGGGATTAGCGGCTGGGTCTGAGGGTATGGGATAGAGGTGGCTAGATTGGGGATAGGGTTAGGGGTTAGGGGTTAGAGGTGGCAGGTCTAGGGATGTAAGCATGGGTGGGTGTGACTGGTTTGAGAGTGATTCCAAGAACTTCCCCTCTCTGGGAAGCTATGTGGATAAGTGGCCACGAATGCAGTTGCATGCTCCATCAGAAAGCACTACATTTGCTCTATATCACTGTTTTTTTGTTGCACAACACAAGTGGGAACTTGGGAAAGATTGGCAGGTCATTCAACTTATTATACACAAAGTTTTGTTGTACTTGTACTATTGTCCAACCCATCCTTTTCTTTTTTAATGAGGTAATATTATATGATATTATAGCAATGGACATCTCTTCTAGTTTGCTATCCGTGAAACCATTATGGATCCATGTTTCTCATTAGAAAGATAAGTTGTTAGCATTTTAAGGACAATTCCCTCAAACAGCTTCATGGGGAGGTATTGCGTCAGAACCATCAACAGACTCATGACATGAAGTCCTCTTACCATCGTCCTTGTATTCAATTGTTGGTCAATCGGCGTTATCCAATCACCATCTGACTTAGATATGCTTTCCTCCGACTTGGATACACTTTGATCCTTGCTCTTACCCCATATGACCATGTATAGACCAGCAACTATGGTGACTGCTCCAAGGACCCTGCAGATCAGAATTCAGCGCCTTCTGTTAGCTTTGTGTATTAGATTCTTGAACAACATCTATAATTCTCAACATTTTTGCGAGTGAATTTTGAAATATATACTTTCTTCTTCTTGCTGTTTTGGCACTTGTAGCAAATTTCCCCCAAAAAAGAAGAGAAAAGGGGGGGGGGGGGGGGGGGGGGCTTGTACTAGAGGAAGAATAATGAATTGCACATACTTTCCCAAGTCCATCTGCTCTGCGAAAATGAAGGAGCCCATAATTGCTATGATAACCATGCTTAGAGGATTAAAGACTGTTACAAAAACTGGCCCCTTTTCCTTCACTATTGTTCCTGAAACATAATACATTACCCCTGAACTGATAATGCCCTGCATCCAAATACCATCCATGAGTATAAATGCAGAATCTTATATTAACTTGTGAATTGTGATATATATATGTGTTTGTGTGTGTGTGTGTGTGTTTGTGTATCTATATGTTTTGGTGCACGCGTTATGTATCACTTTATTTTTTTACTTATTGGTAGCTGTTAGGCTACTTGCATTTCCGATACGTATCACTTATAGGAGGTATTATAAGTGCCCACCCTGCCAACAAAAGTTGTGTTGAGAGCTTCTTACACAATAAAGAGCAGCCAATAATTTTGTATCCCATTGTATGGACCAGATTGTGGTGTTGCCCCTTTCAACTACAAGGGTGAGTATAGTGCCTTGCAATGCCCCCATCATGCATGTCAGAGATGTGAGGGAGAGTACGACAGGGTAAGATTTCAACGTAATTGCCTACAGAAACAAGTAATGTTATATTCTGATTATTATGATATAGGAGATTATAAGCACAAAGTATGATGATACTAGAACTATTGGACTTTATGTGGTCAAATTAAAACAATTCCACTGAATAAATGTGTAAAAGATAGTTGAGGGTGTGGGAATCTCTTACTTGAAGGATGTAAAAACATGCCCAGCAGAAACATCCTGACATTATCATGAGGGCGCCCTTAATCGAATCTTGCTGATTTGTAGCACTTGTAGATTGCTCATGGATTTTGTGTTTGGTCCATGGAAATCTAACCGAGGGTCCTTCAATCAGTGTCATAATCATCGCTCCACTGACGGTCACCAGTGTCCCTACTATTTTCGCTTGGCTGTGTACTCTCCTAATATCTACCGCTCAAGCCTGAAAACCCGGCCACCACCAAAATCACCCCATTATAATTTCACATAAATGTAATGGCAATCTGTTCTTTGTACTAGAGTATATGTTACTTGTGTGCATGCATGTGTGTATGCATATTCTTGTATTTATGTTTGTGATCATGTTGTTACCTTAGAATCCAAGCCATTAAAAAAGTTAAGGCAGGAAGAATGTTGCCCATTGCTGATGCAAAAGTTGCTGTTGTATACTTCAACCCGGTATAGTACAGATTCTGGTCGATAACGGGCCTGTGCAAGGTCTTAGTTAGAGAAACAGAGTTATACTTATACTGAGATCCATGAGAGGAAAGATAGAGATTGAGTATATACTCTAACAATCCGATCAACATTATCTTCAAGAAAATGGAGGTGGTCATTCTTGGCCTTACCTTCCTGTTAAGTAATAGAATGGTGATTAGTTCATGTTTTCATGTAGACATAGCCACGCATACATGACACAAAGCAAAGAGTTGAGATAGACCTTTCCAAGATTATAGCAAAAGGAGCAAAGACAGCAGTGGCAATGGCATTTCGATAGACCGCAAAGGTATAATGGCTCATTCCTTGATTTAGAGCAGACTTGGCTATTATAGCTGTGCCGGCATAGCCAAACTGCAAGAAAATTACAGCCAAATATGGCTTTGCTCGGTTAAAAAAATGATTGTTGTCCATTTCTCTCTAGGTTCCTCTGCTTCTGTGTGTGTGCCTGTGTGTTACTGCAAGAAACTTGCAAGTAATATAGCAGCCTGACCTGCTTTTATATAGAGGGTGTGTCCTTATGAAGCCTAATGACACCACTATGTAACTGAATGGAATTAAAGATTACAATCAGTGGCATTTTCATCATAAAGTGTCAAATCCCTCTCCCACTGATAAAGATATTTGCTACAACGTCTATACCACATCATCGTTTGAACGTGGTATCACCGCGGAATCAAAACAATGCTTGGTGGGTTTTAATTGGTCAAATACCGAATCTAAAAAGGTCAACCACTGGAGGTTCTAGTCTAGCCTTCTGGGATCTAGCTGATTGGTTGTTGCCACTTTTACTTGTGTTGTCATGGCTGCATTAGCCATTAAGTGTATACCACTATCTGCTTGATTTTAGACCAAGTTTTGCAAATTGAACTTGCTTTGTTCATGGAAATCCTCTACCCTCGATACAATGAAGCAGGTCTTGAAATACGTATTGGGGCATTTTAGTCATTTCACATGATATTTTGTTAGCTATCCTAGAAAACATATTATATGCTTGTGCTGTAATGCATTCCTATTTTGCGCCATCTCAAGTGTACGTTTATGTTGTGTTTTCAGGGTAGAGAATTTTACAGAGGTTGATTCTCGGATTTAAATCCGTCGTATATTTGCTTGAACACTTGTCATCGCTCTAGGTTCGATCTCTTAACTTATCTTGTTCAATTTATCATCATCAAAGCACATTAAATGCATGATCTATAATGTTGTTTGACATTGTTATGACTTTCGGGGCTATTAGGTATCAACCCATAAGAAGTCACATTCACAATTATATCTTTATTAAGAATTCAATGTAGTGCGATGAATGATTAATCATAATTCAAATTTTACTCAAGTTCCTATTATTTTTTAGTTTTCCAATAGACTTTTGAGTCCGGAAACCCAAAACATGATGTTCCTTTTATGGCCACAACATAAATATGTTGTGAATCGATATATCTTAGTGAGGGCAGACTTTGACGCAACAGTAAAGTTGATTCATTGTGATGTGGAGATCACAGATTCAAGTTACAAAAATTGTCTCTCTATATGCAGGGATAAGACTGTGTACATCTAACCTTCTCCAAACTACACAATAATGAGAGTCTCGTGCACTGGGGACGCTTTTTAAATAGATATATCTCGGTGGTTGGAAATTAAAGGGAAGAGAGAGAGAGATGTTAAACTGCAATTGTAAACAAAAATGCCATCCGTCTCATACTTTCACAAAGTTCATTTATTGCTGTGATTGGCCAATGCATTATTGTGTGTGCAAGCTTTATTAGCCAAAGTGATGCAGGACAGATTAAGTGTATCTTAATCATTTTTTATTTTTATAGAATCAGAATTTTACAGGGAATATTCTGTTTTATTTTAAAATGATCAGCTGTCTATTCCAACACTATTTTTCATTTTCTAAATAATATCTCAGTTATCTTTCTATAATGTGAAATCTTTTCTTTGTTTTTTTGTGATTTCAAGGTTTAACTAAACAAGGATAGCTCAAGTGATAACAGGGATGAATTATAAATTCAGACGTCTTGAGTTTAAATCTTGGCAATTATTTAAGGTCAGACCATGAGAGATTTATCCCTCATGAATACCCTAGTGTCGGTATCGATGACTTACTTTCGATTGAACCGGAGATGAGATTAATTAAAATGTGTATAAATTGAGTTAAACACTCTTGATCGTTGAATCATAAAAAGAAAAAACATCTTCGCTGTGGATTCAAATTTGTGGGGTAATTTTTTGGTGTCGTGCCTCCTTTTTTTCACTAGTCAGAACATGTCAAGTGTAAAATTTATATATTTTTATTATTTTTAAGATCAATTATCACAAATAAATTAATATATGATTTATGGCAATAAATTTTGGTATGGTACCACTTCGGTACCATGGTGCTCTTCCAAATTTGTGTAATTGTTCTTACATAAAAGAACTGGTTATTACCCATATCTAAAGAGACTATACAATAAACATAAAAATCTTAAATAATTGTTCAAATTTAAAAAGAATGACATAAAAATATTTATACTAATTTTATTTTTAAAATGACTCGAAATATATTATCGATCATATCCTCTATATTAATAGAACTGTCATAAAAATATATAAAAACTCTCCAAAATAACACCATATATATTAATGTCTTTGAAAAAAAATAAATACTAACATAACCCGTTGAAATTTATAATCTTTAAACAATAAATAAAATTTTATTTCTTATAACACATGAATTTATCTACTCTGCTACCACTCAATCCAATAACACAACATAATTATAAACTCAACTACCATATTTTCAATCCACCATATTCTCGTGTAATCAATTCCTCAAGCAAAAAAAAAAAACAAACAAACAAAATATAATTAAATTCACAATTTTAAAGCGATAAATAAAATCAATCAAATCATGCTCAGTTATAAAAATCATGAATTTATCACCACTATTACCATTTAATCTCAAAATCACATAATATAATTATAAATTTAATCACCAAATTTTTAATCATCCACAAATAAATATACACAGAAACACACTAACACACATTTCTTTTTTGGTTACCAACAAACTCTCCTAACCAATAATTGTTTTTATTAGAAATACAATGATTCAAGTTTGTAAGATAAAATAATAATTAATTAATATTTAATTAAAAATTAGGGTAAAAATTATGGACATAGCCTGAGTTTAGTAATATTACACGAACACCTCTTGACATTTTATAAATAACATGGAGACCTCTGATATTTAAAATATATTGCACAGAGATCCCCTCTATCTCCGTTCTGTCAATGTTGCTAACGAAAATTGATAATTTCATCTCAAAAATTTTTATTATTTTTACAATTGCCTTTCTCCAAATTCAATACCAAAAAAATTAAAATTTTAATAAAATCAAATAAAATTTGATTTAGTTCCAAAAAATTAATTAAATAAATTTCAATATTAATTTGATAACAATAAAAATTAATTTGATAAGGTTGAATATAATTTAGACAAAATTAAATGTTATTTTTTAATAAAATTATATATGAATTTACAATCTAAGGTTCATTTCGTGTTGAATATTATTTAATATTTATAGTTAGTGTGCTATTTTTTGATTTACATTAAGTGTTATTTATAAATTAAGAAATAAGTGGTGAAATACATGCTCTCAGATATATAAAAACTTTGAATTAGTTTCGTGAAATAAATAATTACATAACATATAGTTTCATCTGTTTTATGGAGTAAATAATAAAAAAATAACACAGAGGAAACAAAAAGAAAAAAGATAGCAGTATGAGAGAGAGAGAGAGAGAGAGAGTTATATGAGATATGAGAGTCTTAGAGTTGTCAAAGAAATAAAAGTTTAATTAGGACCATCGGATTAAAACAATTTGAGTCGCGAAAAGTTCAAGACAAATAATTTAATTATTTTATTATATAGAGGTGATTTTTCAATGTTCACTATTGACGTGTCACTCATATCCATAGCCGGCTCATAGGCTAGGTTGTTAAAGTGGCTGCCTAGGGTCTTAAAATATTTAAGGTTCGAAATAAAATTTTTAGACATAGGTTCAATTTGATTATTTTATCTGATGATCGAGTCGAGTCGAACTCGTTTTTCTAAATGAGTTTAAAAAATTATTTAAATTCAATTCATTTAAAAAATGAGTCGAGTCCAAAATGAGTCCGAATAGTTTAACTATTTTACATATAAATAAGTCAAAAAAATTTTTATTATTTTTAAACGGGTCTAAAAAAATATTTAAACTTGGCTCATATTCTATTCGAGTCGAATCCGAGTAGTTTAACTCAATTATTAACCCTAATTTTATCTTATGAGCTGGAAATAAAAATTTTTAGACTCAAGTTTAACAATAGTCAAATTTTTTTTGAAATGCTTAGATCTAATATGAAGGGTCTCGATCCATTTCAATTAGGGGCTTAGGGAGGCCGGTACTTCCCCAAAAATTTAATAGGATAAAAGCATATTTTTTAAAATTATTGGAATAAAAATACATCTACTAAAAAAAAAGTCATAAATGCCCTACCTCTGCCATAAATAATGCATACCTAATTGAATGTGAGATTTTCAAAATTAAAATGTGAGAATTTCAAGATTCCTTTTTATATTTGTGTATCATTTGAATTTTGATATATATATATATATATATATATATATATATATATACATACACGTAAAGAGTGACAACGATAGATTGATCATAAATGATGACAATATATGTTTGTCCACTCAAAGAGTTGCACTTAAAGAGGAATTCAAAAAATTGTCTTGCAAATAGTATCACCAAAGAGAGACACGAGATACTGACAATGGAATTACAATCAATGACATCATGTAATACTCTCTTGATAGTGCCCAAGTAGTGTCAGTAAAAAATGACAACAATAGATTGACCTTAAATGATGATAATATATATTTGTCCACTCAAAAAATTGCACTTAAAGAGGGACTCGAAAAATTGTCATTGAAACAGTGTCACCAAAAAGAGACACAAGATATTGATAATGGGGGTGCAATCAATGACATCATGTAATGCCTCCTTAATAGTGGCCAAGTAGTGTCAGTAAAGAGTGACAACAATAGATTGACCATAAATAATGACAATATATATTTGTCCACTTAAAGAGTTGCACCTAAAGAGGAACTCGAAAAATTGTCATGAAAACAGTGTCACCAAAGAGAGACACAAGATAACAACAATAAGGGTTCGATCAATGACATCATGTAATACTCCCTTGATAGTGCCCAAATAATGTCAGTAAAGAGTAACTACTAAACTATTATTTGATATTACTATTTTTTTTTTTAGCGTGTTACTGTTTTATGTTACTATTTTTTTGTTGAATGTGTTATTGTTTGATATTATTATATGTGTGTGTTTCAAATGATACATGTGTGTGTTTCAAATGATACACA